TAATGATGATTGATCCTAATGATTATTGATTGATCATAACGATGTTAGATTGATCATAATAATTATTGATTGATCATAATGATGATTGAGTGATTATAATGATTATTGATTGATTATAATGATGATCGATTCATTATAATGATGATTGATTGATTATAATGATGATCGATTGATTATTATGACGATCTTATGATCATAATGATGATTGGCTGATTACAATGATGATTGATTGATTATAATGATGATTGATTGATTATAATGAGGATTGATTGATTATAATGATGAGGGATTGATTATAATAGTAGTAGTAGTATATTTAGCCAAATTTCAAACTAAAGTTCACATGGCATGTCAAAAGAAAAGTAGTATAAATATAACAATAAATATGATTTAACAGAGTTTGTTACACCACACTAGATAAAAAAGTACAATACAAGTTCATTCAGCAAAGTCATGGTCAAACGTGGACGAAAATAGCTTCTTGCTAAAATACTATATAAAAAATATAAAATAAAAACATAGTGCTTACTGATTTTGAAAATTTAAAAATTCATTTAATGAGTAAAAACATTTCTCACCTAAAAACTTGAAAACTTTATTTTTAAAATTCATGTAGCTCTCAATATCTCGCAGATCTCGAGGAAGAGTATTGTACAATGATATGTAGTTGAACTGGGGCGATTTTGTATATGCCATAGTTCTAAAACCGAATTACTGGTCTTATAGGTATGATGTTCATTTTGCATGCTAAAATCGTTGATGCTCCGCTGTACATAGTTCATTTTGAATAAATGTGTTTTTGCAACTTTCGCCAAATCTAAGGTTGAACAACAATCTAATTATTCGTTTTTGGGATATAAAAACTCTGTTGATGCTTGAAGCTCTACCCCAGCATAGGATGTTATAAGATAAATGACTGTATACGAGAGCATAGTATAGTATATAATAGGCTCTTTTTATTTAAATATGGCATAATAGCCTTTATTTAAATTCAGGAACATATTCTCAGTTTGGGTACTGAAGGAGAGATCTGCATCTAACCAGCTACCAAGGAGTTTCACGCTATCCACTAACTATAAACCAAGCTCTACATTTAATGTTGTCTTAGTAGTTGGTTGTATGGATTTTCTAATACGAAAGTTGATTGCGCTTGTTTTGTTTTTATTTAGGATCAACTTGTTTCTTTGACACCAAACTTCCATTTCTTCAAATACAACTAGGATGTTTGTATGTAGTCCATCCACAGAACTTCCAGATACAGTGATCATGGTATCATCAGCAAACATTGTAACTTTTCTTCTTGAAATGAAGTCTGGCAAGTCATTTACAAAAAGTAGAAATATTAGAGGACCTAATACGGACCCCTGGGGAACTCCCAGATTTACAGGGAATTTATCTGGTAACACATTATCAATCTTCACAATTATATTTCTATTAGACAAGTAAGAGTCAAACCATTTCAATATATGACCTCTCAAACTTAGCAATTCTAATTTTTCTAGAATGATATTTTTATGCAGCATGTCAAATGGCTTAGATAGATTGAACATCATGCTTACTACATAGTTGCCTTGATCTAATTGCGAATAAACATAATACAAAACGTCAGAGATTACTGTCTCTACAGATCTATTTTGTCTAAATCCATGCTGAGCAGCAAATTAAATTTCACTGCAAATTCAATGATAATTGTATACACTGTTCGCTCAGTAACCTTTGAGAACTCTGACAGGAGTGATATTTGTCTATAATTTTCAATATTTTTCATATCACCTTTTTTATGCAGAGGCAAAACAAAACCTGTTTTTAATAGATTAGGGAATATTCCGCTGTTCCAGGAAGAGTTTGTGATGCAAGTCAAAGGTGCCAGTATGAAAGGATCAATTGATTTGAGAACTTTTGGAGGGAGTTTGTCTATGCCACAACTAGATTTGGTCTTCATCGAATTTATTGTTTTCATTACATCACTTTCCGTAACATATGGAACGAAAATAGAATTTGATGGATTTGATACTGAATGAGTACAATGTAGCAGCATGTTCTGACCAAAAGTGTCAGCAAGTTTTTTATTGCATATATTAGAAAAGTAATCTGTAAAAGTGTTACTCATTTCGCTTTTGTTTGATGTTATTTGTTTAATTTCAATTTTTTTTTGTCAAGTTTTTCTAAACGTTCATTAATAAGTTACCATGGGCCGACTGTATTAGGTGAGAAGTGTATTTCCGTTTCGACTCTCTGATTTTCGCTTTGTACTGTCGTTTTCTTTCATTGTACAGATCACATAGGTAAGGAGTCTTGAATGTATTGAGATTGTTAAAAATAGCATCTAGCTCAGTCTTTAGTTGTTTTAACTCACTTGTATACGACTGGTTAGGTACAAGATGTTCAGTTCGAACTTTGACATTTTGATGGGGGCATGTTTTGACTAAACATCATTTAACGGTTTTTGCAAATTCTTCATACACCTTATCAATATTTGACACAATATAAGTTAGACCAATCCGTCTTTGATGATGATCCCCAAGATTACAATTCAGCACAGAGGCTTCATAGTGATGTGAAGAAATATTCGTTGTCAAAGTCTATTGATGAGATAGAAGTTTGGCCGTTAATGTCTGTGAAAATACGAGTTGGTTGGTTGATTGCTAATTGAATGTTGAAACAATCTAAGATGTCTTTAAAAGTTTGAGTCTTAAGCGATCCTGCTAATTCATATCTGATATTTAAGTCGCCTAATACATGTTTATATTTATTCAAAGTATAATTTAGAGCAAGAGTTAAATTTTTTTCAAAAGTCTGAAAATCTTCTGTACCTGGTCTGTATACAGCTATTATCGCTACATGAGATTTCATTCAACAGAGTACGATTTTATAGATGGTATTTCTGCCGTAGTTGCACTATTTTTTGCATATATTAACACACCACCATGTATATGTCTCGGCCTAGAGAAATTCGAGATTAAAGTGTAATTAGGAAGAATTACATTTGGTAGCTTCAAATTTACAAACCAATGTTCAGAACTACAGATTTAACTCGAGAGCAACAGTTTCTAGAAAAGCTAATTTGTTGGACAAACATTGAATACTTGGGTGAAAGATCCTCACTCGAAGGCTGCCTTCTCCATACGAGGTATCATTCATACTAAAAAAGAATCAGGTTGTTGCGCCCTAGGTATTTCAGAATTTGCACTAGAATTATTTGCATTAGAATTATTACCGTTAATCACGTCTCGAATATCATACCTGTCGTAGTGAAGCTTAAAATCAAACCTTAACGTACACCAACTGGCCAAAAAAATGGGTCATAAAACAGATCCTTGTACTTGAAGTCTGCTGCCACAAAGAAACAATTGAACTTTTTGTTATTTGAGAGAACCTTTTTCACAATGAACTCTTCCTTTTTTCCTGACTTCTTAGTGATTAAAGAGAGCACATCTGCTTCTTTTGTATCCAACGCTACTTTATGAAGATACAGCTAAACTTTGGGTGCAACACCATGGAAGTTTCCATTCGATTCTGACTGACCGATATTTCTCTTCGACGCTTTTTTCATTTCGCGTCTGCATTTTTTGGCGGTTGACGATTGGTTTGAACTTCATCGAGCTGCTTTTGCTTCGGTGTGTTATGTTGGTATCCTATTACATCTGTATTTTCCACCGTATTTCTAGTTTTGTTGGATGTTACACTCGTTCTGGAGGTTGCATTGGATGTAGATGGAGCTGTTCTCAAATTCGACATTTTGCTTTCGAAGTTTGAAGACAGATGAGTAAGATCTTTCTTTAGTTTCGCATATAAGTTGTTATAAAGGTGGTTATAGCCCAATGAATCACAACAGCCATTGACATCATTGGATTCTTCATCGGTTCTTAGAGTAACAGCAGTTTCTTTCATAGACGGTAATTCTTTCCTCAAGTTTCTTACATCTATACTTAGTAGGTCGTTTCCTTTAGTGAGGGACTCAATGCTAACTAGCATTTCTTTTATTATTAACTCATGATTAGAAAGTTGTTTTCTAAGAGCAACCATATCACATTCACTCGATTTCAATTTTGATTGCAAGTAGGAATTAATTCGTAGTAATTCCACATTTTCTTCGCTACCTTTTTCAATAACACTACGTTGGTCACTAATAGTACTATTGAGGCTTCTCTCAATATCAAAAACGTCGTCTTCAAAATCGTTTGTTTTTTCCCAATCTAGTAATGTATTCATCTTTTTCGTTTGATTGCTGTATTAGTGTCTCAATTTCAGCTTCATATTTTGTAAGTTCTTCTTCAGCTTCGGCTTTAAGGTTATCTAGCTGAGATCGATAAATCCTATTTTAATTGAAAATACGATTTATCTTATAATCATCAGCTTTTTTGCAGTTTCGTATTTTTCGGAGCAATAGATTGTATTCTTACTCACTTCAATGACATTTTTCTTCCTGTCCAGACAGCTTCTATGAAACATCGAAAAACACCCCACACATACGATGCAAGAGAGTTCCTTCTTGAGGCAACGAAATTAGTTATCCATGTCCAGTTAGCTGATTACGAATTTGAAATTATGTTCTTGATTTTTGCCTGTTACGCCAGTGGGCAGTGTGAATAAAAATTCAGTAAAATCTAAAGCTTACATTTTCGTAGCAAATGCTTAAAAGCTAAAGTTTTTAGCATTGTCTAAAATTGGTGTGAATAAAAGTAAGCAATTACTACGCAATTGCAAATATACTACTAAGTACGATACCATATAATATCAAAAGACAACATGAATATTAATACGTAATAAGTAAATTAAACAAGATACTTGAAGGAAGATTTTTTCGACAACTTTTTCAGGCAGTTATGCCTTCTAGAAAGTTTTCAATGGACCACACTGTATAATGTTATATTTTATGGTTTTTATTATTTTGAATGACTTTTTAAGTTAAATTAAAATGTAAGTAGGTACCTTAATCTGAGTTAAGTTCATTAATTTATTAAAAAAACCTTAACAACGAAAACAATTTATTCATTTACTTACAACTTTCTGAACAACAAATTATTTATTTCTTCAAATTGGTCTCCATTTTCTTTTTGTAGTTTTTCCAACAATAATTTTTCCTTTTCCTTTTGAACTCTTATTAGTTCCAGCTGTTCCAACAAGACCAGTCGTTGGAGCTCTGTATTGCACAAATTTGAGGTTTCGTCTGTTTCCTTAAATTTGTTTTTTTTTGTAACTGGAGACTTATCAGGTAAAGGCCGAACATGAGGTGGAGGTGGAATAAATTCTTCAGTTTTGGATGTTAATGGCTGAGGTTGTTCCACAGATCCTATTGCTCCTGAAATAATTTTTTGGATCAAATAGCAGCAAAACAGTAATGTATACTATTTTATTTATTTACCCCAAAACCCTTAAAAAAACACACAAAACTTCATATTATAAAATGTTACCCCCTCCCATCCCCATTTTTATTAAAAGGTTCAGTCGGGTGTAAATCAAAATATGCATAACCAAAAACCCCTAAAATGACATATTACCCGATTTTGTAGGAAAAATGTTTTTTTTAATTTTGTTCCCTCCGTTTCCCCCTCCATTTTCATAAAAATATTCAGTGGGATCTAAAATCAAAATCTTCATACCTGGTACTTTTTGAAAAACTGGGTTTTATTGTCCTTCCATTAGCGCCAAAAGTTGGTTTTCCCACGCGTTTCAAACAATTTTCTTATTTCCCGTTGCAGTTTTGTCCGTCTTTTTCTTCAACTCGGTCTTCATATTTAGGATTTTCTTTTTTAGTTGTTTTTCAGTTAAAACCCTTCCAATTTGCAAAATATATTTTTGGTGGATTTCTTTGTATGCTTGTTCTTTTTTCTCTTTTATTTTAGGGACTTGCGATTTATTAAATATAATATTATAGCTTACCAAAATTTCCATCAATTTCAGGTTGGAGGAAATTTTTGCAGGTTCTTCCTCCGTCAAAAAATCACTTGTAGAATTTTCTGAATCACTACTCATTTTGAACGTAAACCCATAGCACTCGGTAATGATACTGGTTTAAAAAATTTTCATGTGCTCGATATTTGCCTTTGTCGATTTGCACATCGGCAGTTAAAATTTGTCCATACACATACACTCTATCGACAGCTGAGCCTGCAGTTCCACAGAATTTCACGGCCGACTGATTAGTCATAAAAATATAAATATAGGCCATATCGGTATACAAAAATTTTTTTTTGATGATTTACCAAATAAGGACTTTAAGTAAATACTTAAAATATCTAGCTTTTGCTAGTAAGTAAAAGCAAAAGGTTATTCACTTCAATTTCAGCAAATGCTATTAGCAAAAGCTAAATCTACCTAGTGAAAGCTAAAGCTTATACTTCCTACTAAAAGCAACTAAGTTTTTATTCACTCGGCCCAGTGGAATGTTTGTATACACTTTCTTTTACCAGACTGTGATTAGCGTTTTTTCGATACTCGAACACGTACTCGGTTATTAATGAATTAAATGCTTTTTTATGGCACTGGCAAATGTCTAGTGATATACCACAAAACACATGAAATGCAACATTTTATGGTCTACTCAGTTCCATTATTCCACTCAAATTAACACTAGTTTTTATTATTATTCCAAATATTGGGAGCCGATATAAATACGCCCGACACGTCCGACGGTTCGCATAGAAATTCAAATGATGATTGATTGATTATAATGATGATGTTTAATTGATTGATTATAATTATTATTGATTGGTCATAACGATGATAGATCGATCATAATGATGATTGATTGATCATGATGATGACTGATTGATCATGATTATGATTGATATATAATATTGATGATTTATTGATTATAATAATTATCGATTGATTATAATGATGATAGATTGATTATAATGATGAGAGATTGATCATAATGATGGTTGATTCATCATAATGATTGACTGATAATAATGACGATTGATTGATCATAATGACGATTGATCGATCATAATGATGACTGATCGATCATAATGATGATTGAATATAATGATGATCGTTTGATTATAATGATGATCGATTGATTATAATGATGATCGGTTGATTATGATGATGATCGATTGATTATGATGATGATCGATTGATTATGATGATGATCGATTGATTATAATGATGATCGATTCATTCTAATGATGATCGATTCATTCTGATGATGTTTGATTCATTATAATGATTATTTAATCATTATAATGATTATAAGACGCCACGAAGTGTTTTTTTTTGAAAATCAGTGTACGAATTAACTGCTCATCAAAAAAATACGTAATGGTTGAGAAAAATCGTTTGTTGAAACACAGCAAACCTACAATACGGAGCAAGTTCATATTTGCCACAGAATGAGGGTGTCAAACACGGATATGATAGGTCAAAACAAAATGAGATGCCTTCGTCCGCCCGACCAAGAAAAGAGGACAGCCAACCATGGACAGCTGTTTCGTGCTTCTTAGCTACTTATCAGCATGGTATAGGCTTGGTCTCTTATCTCTGGATGAACAAACGAAAGGATCACATTGATCCTCTATAACGGAGGTGTGGTTTATCACCATGAGATCAATCGCACCAGAATCGATCCATTGTAAATCGCGTACTGCTGCTTTTAGTCGGAACCGTTGCAGATTCCCGTTCAATAGCCGGCCGCTAAATGGCTGATGATTCTGGCAGAATGCAGAGTAGTCTCCTAGCTATTGAATAGGCCAAAACAAAATGAGATGCCTTCGTCCGTCCGACCAAGAAAAGAAGACAGCCAACCATGCTGATGAGTAGCTAAGAAGCACGAAACAACTGTCCATGGTTGGCTGTCTTCTTTTCTTGGTCGGACGGACGGAGGCATCTCATTTTGTTTTGACCTATTCAATAGCTAGCAGACTACTCTGCATTCTGCCAGAATCATCAGCCATTTAGCGGCCGGCTATTGAACGGGAATCTGGAACGGTTCCGACTAATAGCAGCGGTACGCGATTTACAAGGGTTCGATTCTGGTGCGAGAGATGGCGTTGCGCGCTATCTCATGCTGATAAATCGCACCTCTGGTATAGAGGATGAATGTGATCCTTTGGTAATATCTAAAAAAAGTGATGATTGATTTGCTATAATGATGATTGATTCATTATAATCATGATTGATTGATTATAATGATGACTGATTGATTATGATGGTGATTGATTGATTAGGATCGTTATAATGATGATGATTATAATGATGATATGGTGATAATGACAATGATAACGATAATGATAACGACGAATAACGGATAAGGACGAATAACGGCGAATAACGAATAACGGATAACGAATTAACGAATAACGATTATCCTACCTTTTACCTAGTCTGAATTCGTTGCTTTCAAAAGACAGCTTGCTGCTTCACTCCAACGGTGGACAATTCTGATGGCACTTTGTGTGGTCTTATTTTAATAAAAATTAGATCGTCTAGGAAATAATTTTTTACTGCTGACTTTTCCTCATAAAGTGGACCACTTGAGAGATATTCTCCAAAACTGATTACTTTTTAATGGAATAAATAATATATATTAATGGCTTAAAAATGTTTAACCTACTTTTAGAAATAAAGATTTATGCCGTTAAATCTTATTTTGTACTATTTGACTGTGTTTTGTTAGATATTGTTTTTTTATATTTGAAAATGTATGACAGTTCCTATACAATGTTTTTTATCGAGAGGAAATAAATAAATAAAAGTGTTAGCACTTGAGGCCATTTGACATAACCCAATCGTACCTATTTTGAGAAGGTGAGGAAATTAGCTTCAGATTGACATCTTACTTTCCATGGTTGATGATATTCTATGAAATTAATTTGCAGCTTTCCTATTTTACCGATGTTTTTTGACGTTATATAGGTTCTTACTTAATAACCATTCGGAACGCTTCAGCTTTACGAATTTTAATCCATCATTTTCTTGAATGCTGCGTTATATAAACGGAATCTTATGGCAGTCACCGATCGAGATTCCTCATTACTACGAACAAACCACCAGGCGGCCAGCTTTTTGCCGTGCGTGTAACTTTGTAGTAACGAAGAATAAATTGAATATGAATAGACAGTAAAGTGAAATATGTTGCATTCAGGTGTCCTGTCACATCTTGGAAGGAATACGGCGAATTACCAGTAATCCTCTATAAATTATAAAGTAACATCGTGAATTGCCCAATTAATTACAAATTTTGTACTTACACATGTTCAGTCTAAAAAATAATCAATTTCAAAACCGCGTATTGATGTCTGTATACAGACTAAGAACATTTTCAAAAATTGATATAGATAGTGCCAGGCGATTTATCTGATACTCATTTTTCAAACCAACTAGAGTGATTAAAGTAATTTTAAGAATTCATTTTGACATCCTCATTCTGTGGCAAATCTTAGGCATGGATATGTACTTGCTCCGTGTTGTAGGTTTGCTGTGTTTCAACAAACGATTTTTCTCAACCAGTAGGTATGTATTCGTACACTGATTTTCAAAAAACAGTATTCGTGGCATCTTATGATAAATTATGTATGTGTGTGTTATGCAAGGTCAGATCAAGAAATCAACTATAGGTTACGAACTGCGATATACGTAGGTCGTAAGTTGGTTGAGAACGATAAGTGGATATGGCAAGTGACATTCACCCTAGGGTAAAAATGTTCAGCAAGTGAGTGCTCAACGAAGGCGGATCAGACCACTTGCAACCATGTCAAATACGCAATTTGAGGTTAGAAGAAGTTTGAATTTCAAGCAGACATCTCTCTTTTGTTACTAAACTGAATCGTGTAATATTCTGGATAGGGCCATAACAGTTAAGTAGCTATGGGACAACTTACAGGTCTTGATAATAACTTCTGTTTACATAAAGCTATAAATCACACTTTTTCCGGGTGCTCTCCGCTTTGTGAAAACATATAGTTATTCTCAAAACATGTAAGTTATCCCATAGCTATTTAACTGTTAAGGCCATACGTGGAAGATAATACGATTGAGTTTAGTAACAAAAGAAATATCTACTCGAAATTCAATTTTTTTCTAATATCAAATTGCGTATTTGACCAACCATCGGTCTATTTGACATGGTTGCCACTTATCTAGACAGTCTCCCCTTAAACTCTGAGTATCACAACTTCCGATACTTCAGATCGTGAGTCAACGGTGCAGAATCTAGGGGTCAGTTATCTATATTTTGCAAAACGAATTCACATGTAACTAAACTGATAGCTATCCTCCAGAATAGAATTACTCAACGTAGTTAACCTGGGATTGAAAAAACTGAGCCAATAGATGTTATATACACGGATGCAAAAAGGCCTTTTATAAAAAAATACCTATTGGGTATTGACGCTTTTATAATGCACGTCTTTAAATAACCGGTTAAGTTCAAGATTGACGATACGTAATGCCTAAATGAAAAAGTATAGTAAAGAAAAATATTATTTCCAATTTTTAGGTTCTTATCTATTCTGCCGAGGATATGCCGCAAGTGGCGCCACAGTTGGTGGTTGGTAAGGCATACAACTCTACTGCGATGAATATTAGCTGGGTTGCTGTTGAACAGACGAGAGAAAAAGTGCGAGGAAAACTTATAGGACATAGAGTGAGTTAAGTTACATTAGTACACTATAAATGAATTGAAAATTAGATAGAAATTTGCATAATTCGCATATATATGGGGGGTAAAAGAAACACCATTTTTGAGTGTATCACGATTTGATGTGAGGTTGGCCAACAGCGGAGGGCGAAATCACATAATCTATGTCACATTTATAACATTCATGTCATGGTTGCTGTATCACAGGCAGAGTTGGGAGGAAGCATAGGGTCATAGGTGTTTCGTAAAATAAACAGGATCTAGCATTAATTTGATGTATATGGAACTTGTACACACCATCGACGCGCGTTCGATCGCACGGGCGTATTCATTGCAACAATTTTGGTGACGTCCGAGTCATGCAAAGCGCTGGTTTGGTATAGTCGACGCACCTGGAACTCGGCCCGTGTGAACACCAAGTTGGCGCGCGATTATCGAGCGTTTTCTTTGCGGCGTGTCAACTAGTTGTCCGTGTATACGAGCATTTAGAATTAAATTGCTCTGACAAAAATGAACTCAAGACAGGATTGAGCTAGAACAATTTTATTTATTCTAAAATTCGCCAAAAGATATTGGCTATTTTAAGAATAGGGTAGAATTCTAAAAATACAACGAAATAATTTTTTGGTTCTTAAAGTAAATATGAAAGCACATTTGACATGGGATTTCGACTACTACTAAATATTATTTTTTTGGCATACAATACAATGGTATTGTAGAACAACTCTTCTTTCGCAGTGTTCTCAATCGTTGTAGCTTCATTGTTATATAGGCCCCCAACGATATCTAGATCTGGTTCAATCTAAATCAAGGTGCATTGGGTGAAATCACCACAGCCCAACTTTCATATTATTAGATCACCCCAGAGGTCCCTAACGTCAACATGCATTTTTTCGAACTCAGTTTTTTTACCAGAGTAGTTTCGCTCAAAATTTTGTGAAGAAATCACCGATGCTACGGTACGGTACGCCTTACATAACCGTGATTTTTTATAGATTTGCGGAACTCGTAGGTTCTTGAAAAAAAATTTCAAATTCTTTCTCGAGTTTCTGATTAGGCAATGAAAATTTCGCTAACTTAAAAATCCACTGTATATCCATGCTTTCTTTCTTCTTTAGATCAACTAACTAAATCATCAGTTTTTGCCCGGAATCTCGCCTAAACTTGGAGAAACCGCATTTTCGTCGATTTTCCAAATTTTTTACATTCCAAAAGTAGAATAGCATAAATTGGATAACGCAAGAAGTCTACGTACATATGTATTTTTGTGCATTCTTCCAGGTTTCACAGTCAAAAATGTGATTTGTTTCCCGGAAAATTGCGAAAATAGGGAAAACCGTATTTTTGCTGATTTTCCTCAATTTTTGACGTTTTTCATCAAGAAAGGAATACTTGGCCAACACTGTAACCCACTCTGTTTATGTGTTTTTTACATTTTTTTCAGTTCCATTGTCAAAATTCATGATTTCCATTCCGGAAAATCTCCAAGAATCGAAAAATCCACATTTTCTTTTACGAGTAGGATATCATAACATGGCTAACCCAAAAGTTCAATGCACATATGTATTTGGAGCATTCTTTCAGGTTTCATTGTCAGAATTGTGATTTGTTCCCAGAAAATTGCGTAAGTAGGAAAAACCGCATTTTTGCTGATTTTCTCAATTGTTTAAAGTTATAGGCAAGGAATAGAATACTTGGATAACATAGTAACCTTCCTTTTTTCACGCTTTTCCGTTGTCAAAAGCATGATTTCTTGTCTGGAAAATAGTCAACATTCGGAAGAAGCAACTTTTTACTGATTTACTTCAATTTTATTTTGGCAATCCATCAAATCATAAAATAAACAAAATTGATGTATGCCCCGCTCTCATGTCAATAATTAAATTAATTTGAGGAAGTCTATACGAGATATAATCAGAACAAAGTACTCAGCTATCAGATATAAAACATAAAAACAGGAACAGAACTATAAGAAATATAAGAACAATAACAATATCTTGAACAATGAGAACAATATTAAGATTATGGACGATAACTACAACCAGAACAATGACAATAACAATACAAAACATCAACAAAAGGGGCAAGAAAAATAACATCAATAACAGGAACAAGAACAATAACATCAATAACCTTAACAAGAACAAGAATTTGTGATCAATAACCTTAACAAGAACAAGAATTTGTGCAGGTCTAATTATTCGGGATTTGTATGTTGCGTGTGACAAATAGAAGATCACCGCGACAACATGAGAACAACATCCAACTATGCTCTCAATTCTATCCGCTGTATGCACGATGACAGAGCCACCTAGTGACCATAATTATTTGGGACCCGGGACCTATCAAATCTTGGCAATTTGGTGCTTTGATCACAATTTTTGGAAATAAGACAATACAAAGTGCCATCTATTACCAGAACCGACCAATGTGAGAGTAACAGCAATAGATGACAACGATAGCTGACGACGATAAATGAGGACGACAAAATTCGATAGACAGAATACGAAAAACTTCGACAAAACAATATAGGAATAGGAAAAAGCGAATGGCGAATAGCAAATGGCGTATAACGGATAACAGACAAGTAACAACGAACGACCAATGGCGAACAATGAATGACGATTAACGATAACGAACAAGGACGAACAACAACGAATTCCCATAATACCAGTAAAAGGGATTTATTAATTACTCATCAACACAGCCTGGCCTTTACTCATAGGATTTATATAACTAGGGCAATAAGGCTGTACAATCTTTGATTTTGATGTAAATCTATTCTTACCTTGCGGTTAATAGTAGTGTGTTGGTTCACTAAACAATCGTAGGAAAACATTATGTTCTACGTATAAGCGAAAACATGGAAAAACCTGCCGATATCGCCATGATCCAGTGAACCCGGCTCGGGAAGAAACGGTCTTGAGGGCGCAGTGTAATGCCCTCGTAACTAGCACACTAGACACCGACGTAGGTCGGTTGACGGCGTCATCGATAAACATCGACCGCCACCTAGACAACTTCGATGAAGGCGCGGGTTGTTTGGAAAGCTCTGGTCTTTCCATAAACTACTTCAGTGCTAAATTTTGTGTTCATAGGCCAAATTGTCTTTGAGATTTCTATAAACTTGAAAAGTGTTAAGATTCCAAATATGTATACATATTCAACCCCCTCCTGCCCCATCTTACGGATATAATTTCTGAAATTCTTTATTAGTATTTTTTAGACAAAATATACTCGTAAGTTATAACAGCCGTTTCTGCTGATATGCTAGGAGTAATTCTGACCATGCCACTCATTTCCTAAAAGACCTAGAGTTTACTTTATTGTTCTCAACACATTTTACAGTCAGTCAGATTTAGGCCTTTGTACTGTTATGTTTCTATGATCATGCCAATTCAAACAATTTTCAAAATACATTTATATTAAACTCAATTTGTTTAAAGCTGAGAGGACATGCCAAATGTTCAATAAACATTCATTCAGTGAACACCTGAAGTGAGCTCGAAACTTTATTAATTACTAGTTTTTCTGACTAATGTGATGAAGTGTGTTTACATGGGGACCTTTTAAGGCAATATCAAAATGAGAGCCCTCAATTTCACGAACGATGTCTGTATATTTTAAACAATCTATGTATATGTCAATATCCATGAAGCAACTGAAATTGGTAAGGCAATAAAACGCGTTAAAAACATTCATTTCAGGCTTGAAAGAACCATTGAGCACCACTGTCAGGTGCATGAGACCAAAATCTTTGACGAAGCTCTTCAATTAGTGATTGAAGAACAAAATGTGCATTATTTCCAAAACATTTCATCGTGACCCAAGTTCACAAAATTTTTCAAATTTTCAAAAGCCGCAGTTTGGACTAGCATACCCAATTAATATGCCTTATCAGAACTTTAATTATCGTACGCCTAATAACTTTTCGTGCCCAATTTCCATTAGAACCCATCCAAATTCAACTTAGGCCAAACTTAAGTCAGCGTTTTTCGACTAACACTGGAGTCTGGTAACCAGCAAGCAAAGAATTTGAATACTACAAACGTTTTTAAGCCAAATTCTTCAAATCTAAGAAATCTTCACCGATGAGTGTCTGCGCTAGAAATACAACACGTCCGTCTTTCGCTCCCATTCCGGCGAACACACCTCGACCTCAGCAAAATTTTATCTTTGAGGAAGCATATAATACAGAGCTGGATGATAACAAACCAAATGACATTTATAGTTCAGGTGACTTTGGTCGATTCAATGACGAATCTAGACTAGATAATAAATACGACCAATAATACAATTTTGATCAAAATCAAATATTAGCCCCATCTGATCCACCTTCGAGATCAGAAAGTCAAAATTTTACCAAAACAAGGCTGGCTACCGAGCCACCATAAATTCAGAAACTATATCATACAACTCTATTGGTTCTAATGACCTAGCTATATAGTTTTTCCAGAGTACATCAAAATTTTGATAGATTCCGGCTCAAGTAGATCTTTTATAGATCCAGCAATTGCTTTCAAACTTTCTCCAAATCAGGTTATGGAGGAACCCTTCTCTGTCTCAAGTGTATTCCTCAGATCAACACACAAGTTTAGTGCTTTAATACCAGCATCCAAAATTTTCAACTTGCCTCATCCAAAGAAAGTGAAATTTTACCTATTCAAGTTCCACGAGGTTTTCAAAGGTTCAATTGGTATTGACAATCTCATAGAATTAAAGGCCACCCTACACTTTGGAGATGGGCATCTAGTTACACCCTTTGGAGAATCAAGCTACTTTACTTAAATGCTAAAGACAATTTTAATTTTTTATCTGTTGAGCCACATACAGAGTCTATGGATTAAACAAAAACATCAGTATGTGAAGGTGAAATTCGTATGAAGAAATCAAAGAAGCAATCAAAAACTTTACAAAATTGTCAAACACCAGAGCATCTATAGTTGACCCCAAGAATAGTGACAAAGATAGTAAAACTGCCAAGAATTTTAAGCAGCGCAACAGAACTAGACGTCATGTTGTCGCTAAAGTTAGGAGACAATTTGATGATCTTAAAGCTGTGTTTATAAATGACAAAAGAAGAAATCCTCGTAGCAAGAAGTATTGTCATAGTAAACAATGGTGGCGAGCCAAACATACTATATCGAAATTACTTCATAGTGAGAACCTGATTAGTAAAATCAAATACTGGAAGGTACTCGATGATAAAAACCTGAGCGATCATAAATATATTATGTTTGAAATAACAACTAACAAACATAAAAGACCACAGACACACAAGATCCGCAGGTGTAAAATAAGCTGAATTAAAAGCATTCCCCGGAAATCTGCAGTTAACCCTCTGGAACACAAAACTGGATGATTACAAGAACAAAGTTCAACTACTGGATGATGCAATCGGCATGTGACAACACACTTTCACATTTATAATAAAATGCAGTAAATGCACGTTGTAAATGCCCTATTTATACACCCTTACTCATTTTGGCCGGACCAGCGGCTGAGCGCTTCCGCGCGAGACAACTCATGCCAAATTCCATGAAGCTGTTTCGGTAGTAGCCCGTGAAATAGATATTTCAAAGTTATTTCATGCGATAAAAAGTAGCATATATGCTATTCCAGATTATAAACTCTCTGTACCAAATTTCATCCAGATCCGTTCAGACATTTTGGCGTCATTAACAAACATCCACACTTTGTCATTTATAATATCAGTAAGGATTCACTCGTATTTACGTGAACGTATAATGTTTTTTATTATATCCCCGTGTTCTCCGAATACATTAAGAGCGAGTTGGTTTTCGTAAAGTGGTGCATAGAGGCTAATGCACCATTTTACCAATCTTTTACACCCCGTATCTCAAATTGGAAGCATTTCCGTGTTTGGTGTCCATTGGAATTGTTATTTCAAAGATGATTCTAAATTGTGGATAGCCGCGGGACTGTAAGCGCGTTCAGATATAATTAAGGTAATAAGGTAATCGACACCCGAGCCATACAAAGACAATGTAGGATTGGCACGTACCTGGGTGTTCCTGTCGCCTGGTCTGGAGGAGCTCCTTTCTCTTCACAGCTTCTTAGAATCACCACACTCGCCTTAGCGAATATATTTTACCCGGTTTAACTAGGATTCTTTGTCGAGATATTGAAGACGACCGTTGCCTTTTTCGATCTTTCACGAATTGACTTCACGAAATCGTCTTCCTCTTGTGCGCATGTTTTACTTATATGCGCACGTGCCAAATAATTTGAATTTGTATGGCTTTTGAGTTCAAATAATGAAGTATGTTTTTGAACTTGCATGAACAGGAACATTTGGTCAGCACAACATGAACATCACATGTTAAAAAATTAAAATTTAGTAGCGACAAATCTCGTCCTAAGTGTGCCCTCATTTATATCTTATAAACAACAAGAATTATTTTCTTGTACTTGCTTGTAGAATAATTACTGTTCATCGACTTTTGCAGCTTTTATTGCTTATCTAATAATAGTAAATTTCAGCCGTCTTATGCGGATTTCTCAGCAACGTATTTTAACCAGTATTAACCTGCCCTTTGGATGTTTTTTTCAGTATACTACAATCATATTTCTATAATTTTCCAATAAAAGTATTGTAGCGCCCTCGTAAACTAGATGTTTCGGGTACGGATGAGATGCCCTCGCAACGTCAACGCTTAGACAATCAATTGTGCAGCCAAAATATGTGAGAGTTCGCGACGGCATCGGGAGCACTACCGCCATCGAGAAACATCGAACGTTATCTAGCAAGCTTCGAAAATACGGAAAATGCAATTTTTCAACATTAGTTGCTAAAAAATCTGAAACCTCATCGAATTTTATGCACTTTTTTTTTATATATGTATAGTATCTGAACCAACCATTGGTATGCTGTCTCTGCAACAGTTCCAAACCAGGTGTCTCTTTCAATTATTGTCCTAGTCTAAGTAAGTTAACCACCAGTTCATTTCCGCATCTGCCATCATTGTGTGATCATCGCTGTTGCCGTTCGCATCTCCCTTATTATTTTATCGAAATCTCGTCGAGACGATACAATTAGTCCTTCCTCACGTACTGAGTTCGCACGTACATGGAAAACCATTGAGGCTGGTTGAAAATTTGCATGCAGTGACTTACCCCTTTCAGCTGTAATATTTTCAGTTCTAAGCAACATCCGGTTATACCGAAATTGAACCACGTCATTGTCTTGAATGGAATATTTTTCAGATCTTTTGGAATTTGTAATGTATTGAAATGAAACTTTATTGAAAACCCTATAAGAAAGACTATATTTTTGATTTTTATTTCATTTTTTTTACATACGTCATGAATATATTATTTCCACACCTTATAAACTAGAGGCTATGGGCTAGACAACCAGATTGCTACTTCAGACCATACGGGTACAACGATGTAAAATATTGTCGCGGTGATAGATGTACAATTTGCATCAAATTTGCCAACATAAAAAAATGCATAATTTTTTAATTACCTTCCAGATAAAATATTGGAAAAATGGAACAGATGAACAGGATGCTGTTTATTATTTGTCACGAACAACCAGGCCGTGGGCGCTCATCGTTGGCTTGCAACCTGATACATATTACTTTGTTAAAGCTATGGTATACAACGCAGCTGGAGAAGGACCCGAAAGTGAAAGATACTTTGGTAAGAAATACAGCGTTACTCTGCAGTTTGGTGTTTATCTTCTCGTTAAATAATAAATATCTGGCCGAGGAAAAGTGTCTATATTTATGTTTTTTCGATCAAAATTAACAGCTGGTTGACATGGTAGCAGCTTTAAACATAATATGCTTCATTAATAACAGTAACTATGATTCTTATTGTCATATTCCGATGCAACAAAATACTTTGATGGTTAACTCTAGGTTCCAGGTTTTAATATTGTTTTTTCTCTTAGTTGCTCTTTTACTGTTACTACGAATATAGTTACCACATTGCCCGTCCACAGCGGGAACTCAGGTTAATTATCAAGTATCGTAATCGGTTCGTAACATATGGTATACATTCCCTGTATAAGATTTCCATTCCAGAGTTTAGTCTGTGGGTTCGACGAAGACGGACCTAATTCCAAACAATAACGCGATCGCGACATGACACCGCGCGATTTATAAACAATAAAGTGTGCCAGTGTGCTAATTGTTGTATAATAGTGTAAAGTAGGTGAAATGTAACGTGCAGTGAAAAGTGCAAGGTGACCTTGTTTAAACTTTTTCGTCAAAGGCGTTCGTCGGGGAGGGGGGTATGTCGGCACCCCCATTGCAAGCCAGGGGACAAGCAGTCAGATGCCGAATCCAATTTGTACCAAGTGAAAATGGCACAGGTGGTGGAAGCAATGAACCACCAGTAACAGCACCCCCGGCAGTGCCTTCGGAGGGCGCCCGACAAAGTACTGAGGAAACTATGGACAACCGCGAGTTGCCTGGAACACCTCAGGATGACTCAGATTAGCATCACCACAACAAGCGAATAAAAAAAGACGCTCGGAACCAACTATTCAGCCACTAGGTTCGAGCAACAAATACGAAATTCTTGCAAATACAAGACATGACAAAGGCAAAGAAAATATAAACCTCCACCCATTGTTGTTACTGATAGTAAACTGACAGCTACAGCAGCAGGACTCAAACAATTGTGTGAGCTCTGCAAAAAGCAAGTGAGTCTTAAAAATCAACGCTCACGCAAAACGAGCAGACCTACTACCAGAGTCAAATGAAGAACACGAAAAAGTTATAAATAGACTGAAAGGTGAATACACCTACTTCATCTACGGCCAAAAGAATGACCATGGGAGCACCAAAAAGCTCATAGTAAAAGAGATATGCACCTTAGGTGCTACGGCGGTAGAAATTAGTGAGGATACACATCGTAACTATGCGGTCATACCTCTCAAAGTTGTGATATATAAAAGCAACAGTACGGTTTTACTAATATTTGAGCATGACACTGAATGGAAGACCAAGAATGCCAGCTCTCCTCCAGCAGAGGATCAAAACAGAGCGATACAAAGTCCGAATGGGTGCTGTGCTTCAATGCAAAAACTGCTTGGTAACTCCCGGCAACCGGAAGAAATTAAAGTAGTCGTAGGAATTCTGGACATGCCGCTAGAAATGCTGTATGTGAGTCATTTCAGTTGGAAATAGAGAAAACGCTAATTCGTTGTAATCGTCAAATCAAGATTACTGAATTATAAACCAAGCCGCGGAAACAGTCTATGGCTGCAATACGGGTCACAAGCTCGAGGACATCTGCAGATGCAGTGGGTGGAGATAGCTGGACAAATCAAACCAGCAGCTTTCAATCCATTCAGGAGATGCTGAAATTAATCGATGAAATTTTAGCAGCTAATATTGACGATGACGCTTAAGTTCCGTACATGCAACAAGAATTAGTCTGATCAAAGACAAACACTCGCTAAGACTGAGTTAATAAAGCAACGGGTATCATGTACAAAAACCTAAAAAACGCCAAAAAAAAACCTATAAGATGTCATCTTGCAGACTAGGTAGTGTTTAGGGTGCAGTCATTCCATGTTTGCTCACTAGGGTCGTTATAAGCGCGATCCAAAGCGTCCATCTATGGAGGAATAATTGAACGAATCGAGTTTATAGACCTCAAATTGTAGTATTTAAAATGCGAAGAAGGAAAGTTTGGTTGAGTAGCAAGACCGCATCTGTATGATTGTATTGGCCTGCATGTGTATAAAATTGTGATATTTGCTATATTGAAAAATTATTACTGACTATGCTGCCAATGAAGTATATCTATTAGCTGTGCCAAAACAGTAGTTTAATAATGCATTTTAGATTTAAAAGTTAATGAGATTGTTTCAGTGTAATGACTAAACAATTTTCAAGTTACCTTCAAGAGCTGTCTAATTACACATATTGCAATAAAAGCACGAGGAGTAAATACTTATAAACATAAGTATACACATATATTTTTATAGTCTAGAATATATGTAACTCTTTATAACTACAAATGGGGCTCCTGATTTTTTTGTCCTCTCCTTGGCTCTGACTAACCATCTCTTACTGATGCTAATGCTTTCATACTCCAACATGAAGGAATATTGTCGGTGACTAAAAACATAGAGTCATTGGTAAACAATTCACACACATTTAGGGTTGCAGGTTTAAATTTGAATATTGATATGGTCAATCAAGATGAAAATTTCAGCTGTCACATCAGAAGTTGCAGCATTCAGGAAAAAATGGTTTTTTCATCTAGAAAGTAGCTGAACCGAATTAAAAACGTTAAGAGCAATTTGTAATTTCAATTTTTTTTTATGGAACTGAAGATATTAATAGTCCTGCGCCTGAATTCCTGCCTCAAGTTCAGAATTCCCAATACAATCTAGGATACCTGGTAACCCTACATACAATATAGTTGTAGAAACTGTACAATGGAAATTGTTGATACGTACCTAATGCACATTTAGCTATGAGTAGCTTTTTGAATTGCAGCTATTGTTTATTACCTTCCCAAGAATAACTTATTGCTAATTCATCAGTGAAACTTATGGAGTATATTATGTGTCTGCTGTGCTACTAATTTCAAATATTGATTTTAAAAAGTTTTTGTATACACTTATTTAATATATTTCATACAAGATATTAGCAATTTAAATGTAGAAACAGTACATTGTGATTACTTTTTATTCTAGCCATTTTTCTTCAAAACTGTCTAATTTTTCCTTGGAAGACTGTAGCAGTGAATTATTGATTTCCTTGTGTTGGTTTTAACTAGTGTTAACTGTACCTGTATAGGGAATTCATTGCCACATTAGGATTTTGGAAGTTATTCGTTGTCATTCATCAATCTTGATGTGATTGAATCTTTGTGTTTGATACTACAAAATCGTATATCCATCTTTCTGAAATTTTCATTATAAATGTTGATGATCACAAAAACTTTTTTTGGGAGAAAATCCTGACGAAGCTATTAAACAATGACAAAATGTTGATTTATTAAAAGATTTTTTTCTCTATGGCTTGTTAATCTACAGTGGATTGTCACAACAACCTCAATATTTCCTCCCCTTGCAAGCTTTGTTTTTTTTGCAGAGTGTACAATTGAATTGTATCAACCTGGTACAAATTGGTAAAAGTTCCACAAAAAGAATGACTCATCTTTATGTCAGGGAAATTATCAGACTGCCTAAGTGACTATATTTGAGATATGGCTAGCATTCTATTGGCCTCAAATTTAGTGCCCTGATTACCTGATTTAGGTAGCATTAATTGTGTACAGCATATGTGATTGACTATATATTTCTTTTGAATGTGCTAGGGGTGTACAATGTTTCGAATGAATGTATTAGCTAGATTTGGCAAATAGAGGCATCAACTTGAGGTTTGATATCTAGTTCATATTTCACAGCTTACAGACCATTTACATGTAATATTATCAGCAATCACAATGAATGTATATAGATAGTGAAGATCGCTTTAAAAAATGAATCTTTCATTCATTTGTAGCATCTTTAGACAATTATTTCATAACCTTGAAAAATTATTACCTACAATGCAGAGAAAACTGTGCATTTACATCAGATTCCGAAGTCTCTGATGCACTGATATCATATTTTGTGTTCTTCTTTCTAATCCTTTTGTTTTGAGATATACTATTTCTATTTGCAGATTGAATATCTAGTAGTTTTGGCTTTCTCCACTTTTCTTTTGGCAATATTAAAATCCCCTGGAAAAAACATAGTTCAGCTACAGCTAATATCCAAACTCCAACTTTCCAAATTGTTACAATCCAAAATACTACTGAAGATATGATTGCTTACCATTGTCACCCAATGAACATACTTTATGTATTTCCTAGTATTCATCAGGATCATCCTAATCCTCTTTTAACTTACAGGTTTTCATTATTCTACCAACATTCTACTATATTTTCTTTTATGAAGGCAATAATTACTCAAACCACCATTTTCGTTGTCCTTCATTTTCAACCCTACAACCAGAACATATACTATAATGTTCCAAGTAAAAATGCTTGATAATAAAATAATGCATGTTCAGCAAAAAATGAAAAGGTAAATTCAAAGTGAAACAGATTCTTTCAATGTCAGGCATGAAATAAGTTTATAAAATACTCTGTGATTATGGATTACACTCGATATGTTTTTGTGATTATTTCAAGTAACATCTAAATAACATAGTGCTGAAAAGTCATTTTTCATAGTGTAGATATCTACCTACCTCAAAAACTATATATTAAAAATACTCATATACTTTTAATTTCAAGAAAAAACAGGTTCTGTTAAAAATGGTTTAATTTTACCCATAACCCCTATACTTCCAAAATTACTTACATATTTTGATAATTTTGTGGTTTACCAACATAAATGAGTCTGCAAGTATGGAACAAATAATGAACCAATAACTTTGAAACTTTGAAACTTTTTATACTGTGATGAATTACATCCTGCTACAATATGTTCTCCAGTGTGTTGAAGTACAGTAAATCCCCTTTTAAGGTATATCTTGTGTAGGTGAAGAACCCTGTATGACTATTGATACCAAGATATTTGATTCATTAGTAGTAACACAGATCATAATATGTTGAAAAACATAACATTTTCCATTTAAAATAATTCTATTATGGTGTAATTCAGAAATCTCTTGCACTAAATCCTACGAAGCCCCTTTGCCCTTCACTGCATGGGCTCAAACAAATGACAAAACACAGAAGCATTGTTACAAATTATTTTATTAATTATTACTCTATTATAAAAATTATTATTACTTGAAGAAGAGATCACGGAACCATGGAACCATTATAACACCGGCGTCAAGATGGTGATATTAGTGACAGATGACACGTGATGCCAGTCAGTTAAGTAGAAAATTTGAAATTAATTTCCTTTTAACATTCTCCTGTAACAGGGCAATGTCGTTAAATCATGAAAAACTTATTACATTTATTTTAAAAAATAAATATATTCACTTATCTTCATAACCACATCAAAGAAAAAATAGGAATGAGTCATCACAGATCAAACATTTTCTCAGTGCTTCATATCCAGGTGCTGATTTGAATTTTCTATTGACATCACAAAATACATTTTTATAAAACTTAACTGACTGGAAATAAAAAATAATGTAATAACCTTTTCACTTTCATAAATATTCCTGTCTGTAGCTTCTTCTTATCTCTCACAATTTTTGAAATTCAGTAAACTTGCATATATAATTTCCAGGTTGACTAAGAAAAAGTAGATGCGCAACTAATTTCAAGTTTTGAATACATCTCAAGTAAGTCTATTTGAGACAAGAAACCAATGGTATTATCATCAACAGATTATTAGCACACACATCCTCACTGTGTACCTATGCACTGCCGATTCCTTCCAGATGTAGTCTATAGTATACAACTTACAGCTTAGACCTCCAATATAATGCCATCTCTGAAGCAGATGATACATCACATCATAGCTAAACATGACGTTCAGGCAACACGCACAACTACAAACGAGTTCACGACAAGTGTCAATCAGCTAGTGCTAAGTTAACGTCTTGTCGAAAAGCCTACATAATGTCAAAAAAAAAAACAGTATAATCTCAAAAAAATCTATATAACGTCACTTTTCAAGTTACGTGATACACGTGCGGGTAGCTCGCTTCCTTTTGGAGTTGAAACTAAGCCACGTGAACATAAATGGATTACCAGGTCGACTTAGCGAAGTTTCTCTCCTAGTCTGATAAAAAGACCCAGATGTAGTAATAGTAAATGAGACTCACATTGACCACCCACAATCACGACGGAATCTAAAAGGTGATATTCAGGGATATCAGTTTATATCTGTCAGCAAAAATGTAATATGGGGCACAATAGAATTCCTTAGACAGCATCACAAACGTTGGATACACAGTTAAAACAGTGCATTCGACAGCTGGCTTCAGATTCACGATCGGTCAATTGGTTTTGGAAATATTGGCGAAAAACTGTTTTTGCTAGTGAATCCGAAACGGTCAATTTGACAGCTGTCAAAATGTGACATTATTCAGAAATTTTTTTACAGCAAATAAGATTGCGTATATAACATATCTCAACCGTCTTTTGTTTTCCCGCAGTACTGCCTCAATTTTCATTTTTCTTACGGCCGCCATATTGGATTTTTCAATTTTTGGAAAGAGCTTAAAATTTCCAGCCTAGTGATGTCTCACAAGTGCATAAAAGATTGGAGTTTCATCGAAATATTACCTCACGTAATGTTATGTATTATTTTTTTTCTAAGAGGCCATGATTTGTTTGTCAGAAAATAAAATTAATAAGTAACGCATTTTTTTTCATCTAAGGAGGCTCTGACTTTGACGTTAAATAATTCAAAGTATTAAAATTGTGTTTTAATAAGTAGTAGGAACATTTTTCTCATTAAAATCATAAATCGTACAAAAAAATTGTGAAACCTGTTGAAAATGGCCGGTATTCCCTACTCAAATGAAGAAAAGTTTGACATGAATGACGGCAGCCTCATAAAACCCAATTTAGAAACATAGTAGTTAATTACATGATCAAACGAACTTGCCTGTAAGTGATGATCGATCTTAATTATGTGAAGTCCTCGTCGAAGTAAATATTTAGAATACATATCGTAGTGCCCTCGTAGTATTACCCAACCCCACGATTTCAAAGCGGGCACGCAGCGAAGGAAAGCGGCACAGCGCCCCTTCCCCCTACCCTTCTCCCCTCTGGCCGCCTATAAACCTTCATTTTCTTCAAAGCCAAGTTGCTGCAACAATTGGGTGATACATAGGGAACCAGGGAGCTATTTACTTCGGCGAGGACTTCACATAATCAAGATCGAACATCACTAACAGGTAAGTTCGTTTGATCATGTAAGTATGTTCCGTCCTCGTCGAAGTAAATATTCAGAATACATATCGTAGATGTTGTACATTTGCATTGTAACAACTCAATTTAGGGCTTTTAGCAACAGGTAATATGACGTACCTGGTTCAAAAATTACCATTCATTACAAGGTAATAAGCAAATAACGTAATAATATAGTTATGTTCAAGGTGTGGAGACTTGGTTCACCTCAAATGCCGCTTGAGCAAAGCTATTGTTTGGCATCAGAGATTTGTGACGTATCTCAGAAAACACATTCCAGCCCGCCGCGAGCCTGAGACTACTATAACTTCACAGGCGGAGAGGTATACGCATTTCATGTACTGTGGGCTGTCAATTGTGATACTTTCTGCTAAAACCGGATTAATCCATCTGGGAGCAGAGGCACCATGATGAAGTTACTGTACAGTGACAAATAAATACTTTGACTCCACAGATATTTGGGCGTAAAATACGGTAAAACTAAAAGTAGTTGCCACATGAGTGACCCCGAGACTTTCAAAATCCCAATTTCAATATTATTCAACCCAATCCGGATGTTGTCTGTTTCAATTAGTTTGCACACTCCGACCTGAGGTTAGAGCTAGCAGTGTTGCTGATTTCCTCATTCAAATATGTATCTACATAGCTTACCAGCGACCCCTTTGGTTAGTTGAGGTCTCAGCCTGTAAATGCCCTTCAAAACCATCTTATTTCTGCATCGTTAGAAATATTTTAGGTAAAAGACTGATAGCTCAAAAAATTATATCTTGATCTCTTATCACCTGTAAGGTAAGAAATTTCAAGGTAGAAAACCAGACATGTATTTCTTCCCGACAAAGGTCCTACAGTAATCTAAGACCACAATACATGATGGATTATCGATGCTTATTCAAATGACAGCTTTCCAGTGACGATAACCAGGGTAAGCTTCGGAATTAGTGGGAGCGGCGTCCTGGGTCCCTCCATCAGATTCTTGCGTTACTTCTAGAAGTGAAATTTCAGAAACACTGAATACTTGAACCAAAATCAGGACGGTGACAGGTGTAGCTCCCACTCCGTTTCCACCTGCCATAGT